TTAAGGCTTGTGAGAGAGAAAGGATGAATTTAAAAGAAAAATATTGGTTTCTTTTGAGTTTAATTAAAGAAGAAAAAAAGAAGCAAAGATGCGGACACTATGGTCAGTGATGATGTTTTATTTATTATTATTAATTACTATTATCATTGTTGTTGTTGTTGTTGATGTTGTTGCTGCTGTTATTGCTGTTGTTGTTGTCATTGTTGTGCTTCATATGGGGCAAAATTTTATTCTCTCAGTTTTGGAACTAAAATTTTGATCGTACTTGAGAATGTCAACAAAAATTCATAGCATATTTTCAAAATTATTTCAGCTTTGTTTTCATGCATATTTAATTTTAGAACGTGATGATGCAATGAAATTCGCTCAATTAAGAAATTTTGTGTGTTGAAATAATTAATTGTTGGCTCAATTTTTTTCTATCAAAAATGAGGAGGTTGATTTATCAATGATGATAACTTTATCACAATTTGAATATTCTCGATGTAGATAATTTCGGATTTAGTCAGTCTGAAACTTCAGTCTTTCGTTATGAAGACTTTAGCTTGAATTATGAAATCAGATTTCAAATGAAAGTTATTTTCACTTAACTATCAAAAAGATATGAAATGTTGTATCTAATTTCCAGTAAAGAAACGATCTGGCAAACGGCAGTTTGCATTAGTTTACTGTTTGAAACAGTCCGTCCTTATGTATCAACAACTTTCCAGTGTTCTGAAGGTTTTTATTTATCAACTTTCAACACTGCATTCGTTGGCAAAGAACGTTATTACAAATTTACATGTTCAGCGTTCGATAATATTCATATGGTCTGTTCTTTCCAATTCATTCGTTTCTCGAAATAACTTTTATAATTTAAAATAGGCACATGGATGAGTTAGCCGATATCAATCAAATAACATTACATTTGGGCCAGTAATATATTGAAGTATTTGAAATTATAATTTATAATAGGATATAATTCTCGATTCAAATCTTGATTAGTTTGTTTTTGCAGCAGATGAATGAAACGTGTAGGATATCGGATAGCGCGTCATCCTCATTAGATGACATATATTTAAGCTGCGGAAGCGATCAGGTAAGAATTCTTGAGTCCAATAACAGTAGAATTATTCGATCATCCAATGCAGTGTATTTTCAGATGACAGCGCTTCTAGAAGACCGAATTTGCATTACTCCTAGAAGATTACTATCGAGAATAGAATTAATCTTTAATTAGTATTCGGGAAAAATAGCTAAGTTCACTCAGTTCTATCAGCTATTTCAAGAAATTCCAAGAAAATAATCCATCGTCCAGATACAAACATTAGGAAATGCCTTTCTCTTATCATTTTCACCCAATCTATGTTAATGATAAGATAATGATGAAGTTAAAATGGGAGCAAAGGATAATTTACTATCATCTAGTCATATATCACTAACAAAATTTCTTGCATTTTCTTCATTTACACAATACAATTGTCATTTTTTCATAAAGTTTTGCAATAGGGGTCGTTAAATAAGTCTAAATTTATGAGTCATTACTAATAACTAAAATCAATAAAACATCTCTCCCATTCAAGCTTTTGATCATTTATCATAGCATAAGCAGTTAACATTACTTCAACTATAGCACAAATCAAATCCCCTTCATACGGCTATCTTTTAAATCAAGTTTGACCTCTTTGGTGTTGTATTACAAGCAGTAGCTTGCAGTATACAGCGGGTGTCAGAATTATTGAAGAACATTCCGAAAAATTCAGTGTATGGCAACTACTTTGTTGTAGTAGTAAATCAATCAAAATTCGAATAGATGATTGCATTGATACCAAATTTTTAAATGAGCACCATCAGTCATCAACATTCTTTACTGGTGCACAAATTATACGCAAATGGCAAGCTGTACTCGATGATAAGTTTGTTTCATTTTCATGTTTCAAATATTATAGTACTATTGAAATAAAGAGAGATATTTGTATAATTCGTCAGATGTTTTGCTTAGGGTCTCGACACACACACGTGTACGCTGAAATTCTAACATAAACTTTTGAACCCGAAAAGATCGTTAATCATATAAGGATGAAATAAAGTAAGCACTGCAACTTGAGTTAAAAGGACTGCCGTTTAAGGCTAAAGTTTTAAGTTAAAGGTTAAATGACATGCTGTCGCATTCATCCTCTCATCTTCAATTATTATACTAATATTATTTCTCATAATTAGTTACTACGATTTTTTTCATACATTTCTAATTGACTAAAAATTTAGTTTAATAATCTGCTAATAACATCTCGAATTGTTGATGTTTTGTAAGCATAGCTCACTATTATTTCATTTTCAGTGACTTACGATGGTGGCTTCAGTTGTGTCCCGTGGATATTCGGGGTAAGAGTAATATACAGCATAGTACTTCCTCAAGAGCTCGACGTCAAATTCCATGGCAATGGACTCGTAGCCGTTTTGATTCTATTGTTAGTTTTCAGGTTTTATAAAAAATTGAGTCTTGAAGTAAAATTTTGGATTAAAAATTATACGTACAGTAATTACTGCAAAGTTACAAACAAAGTAAAAAATTTATAAAAAAATATATAGTTGTTTATTTCCTTATTTATTAATGAATATAATAAAAAACAAGTAAAACTTGTTTTGGCATATTTGAGTCGTGAAGAGGCAAACATTTTCAGCAAGTTGATCCGATGTTCATGAAACAGGATCGTCTAGATAATCTGCGCTCGAAGTCTTCTAGTAGCATCAATCACATGCAAACATTTCCCAAAACTTCAATTCCGCAATTCGAGAATGAGCAAAAAACTGTGCGAAGTTCAAGGGTAAGCAAGTAAACATTTTATTAAGTCAGTTACAAAGATCATACCAATCATTCTATAAACTTAAGAATATGCAAATTAGCCCTTTGGTCAGATTAATAAATTCATGAATTATCATTTTGGCCGAAATCATTATTAATTGTACAGAAAGCCCTTTCTTCCAAAAGGTATGATTCGTCTAAATATTTGAAATAATGAACTACCATTTAGCGTTTTTTTCAACGAACGTATCATCACTGCTTTGTTAGAATCAAATGATAAAAGAAAATCAAACATTAAAATTTATCAAATTGGAGATTTTTTTTTAGTCAAATTCACTTTTAAACTGGAATCATAATATTTATGAAGACTTTTTATCATTTGATTCTAACAAAGCAGTGGTGATACGTTTAGTGAAATTTATTTTTAATTTGGCTTCAATTTTTATCAAGAATAAGTTCGTCAAAAAAATTTATTTTCAAGTTAACATGTTTTCATTTATTACCACTGCAATTATCGCAAACACTGTTTCATGAAAAATATTTATTTTTTAGAAGCTAACCGCTAATACAAATACGAAAACAGCGTTTGTAACAGAGAAGGTACCGCAATTATCAGTATCAAAACCATTGACAAATACTACTGCATCTTCCATTAAGTCTACAACTTTCTCAGCGGTTAAGGAAGACGTCGCTATTGATTATTATGATGTTTACGATGAAAATTTTGATAAATCGAAACATGCAAGCAGACAAGGGATATTAGGAGGGGTATCCGATCTCTTGCAAAATATTCAGGTGCATATGGTTCTGTTTGATAGCAAAAGCTTTTAAATTCCATTATCGTATTTAATATACAATTAAAGATAATTGCTGCTAGCGCTAAATAGCTTTTTTTGATAATTTTTATGATTGGCAAATAAAATCAAAGTGTATCGGACCATTGATTTATTTTTTGTGATAATAACGATAATGCCTAATAAATACTCCTCGTTGTTAGAACTTTCTAAAATTGATGAATTATATAAATTAGTGGAAAAAAGTACTAAAGAACAACAATACGTGACTTGCACCTGTAAATTATATTTTTTTGAAACTGACAGCAATGTATTATAATATTAAGGACGGCTTATCAATAGCGCAAGCAGCTTTACCATCTCATGAAAAGCAAGTTTATGAGATTGCAACAAGCACCGATGGACCAGCTTTTGTATTAAGTCGAGATGAAGATTCATTGACAATTGGTATGCAACATGACACCCAGAATGGTGCTAGTAATTCCAGACTTAAATTTCAGCGGTATATTTTATGTTGTGAATTTTATTAAATTAATAAGCTATCTTAGTTTCTCGGGCTTAGAAGGATTTCATTTCAATAAATACTCTGCACAGTAATATTTTCTTATTCATAACTTTTGAATGATTTATCAGTGATTAGTATGAAATATGCTCAGACTGGAAATTTATACAATATTCTAGCGCTAAAAATGCATAAAAATAGGACGGAAATGTGTACTGAAAAACTTTATATTATTATAGTCGGCGTTAAATCATAACTTGTGACATAAGGTGGAGGGGAAAGCAGTGATATGACAATTTGCGCATTTTGTACACTGATTACAGTAATCTAAATATTGCAGTTCTTTTTTTAGATTTGGCCCAAAACCATCTCGACCAAATGCATCACAGCCAGTATCAACATCATTCAAATTGGGTAATCCAGGCGCAATTCAGCAAATGTTTCAATTTTTTGGTCTATGTAAGAGTCATGAATTATAGTGATTTCTTCGATTCTTTCGCTTCAAAGAAAAAGAAACCGAAAAAGATATTAGAAATGATTACAGACAGTCTGTTAGAGAAAAGAAATATTTTTCAATGTAAACTTGAAAAAGTTTATTGTTTGCCTACTCACTATTGTCTCATTTATTCACTTTTGTTTTTTGGTAGCGAAAAAACTCTATCATTCTTTTATGTTGTGAATTTTATTGAAGCCACAAGTTATCTCATTTCTCTACGGGCTTAACAAAATTTTAATTTCATTAAATGAAATTGAATGATAATGCTTCCTAGCCAGACAGACAGATAAGATTCTCTAACTAATTTTGGCTAATTTCTTTTTTATGTGATAAAAATTATTTCTTTTTATGTGATCGGATTGAAAGCTACTATTTAATTGAATGCACGAAATTGAACTTTCGAGTGTTGTCGATTTAAGAATGTATCGAAGATAGCCTCGCTCGGGAAAAAGCTACGGGAATGGGAATCTTTACAAATTGGCATTTCTGTTATTCAATAATAGCTCAACTTATCATTCATTGGATTTACAAATTTCTGTGAGGTTCTTAGTAAATTATTGATTTTCTACTTAAATTTATTGAGTCTCCACCAGTCTTGGAAGTTTTCAATTTTTACCATCCGCTTCTACCCGTCCCTTTTCAAAACACTGATTCTATTCTGTGTTTAGATATTTTACATTTCTAAGTCTTATAGTAATACAGTACTCAATTTGAGCCTCTTTTTGTTTTCTCTTTTTGTCATATAAATATTAATAAATTTCATTTCAAATCAGAATGTAAACATACCAGTTTTTTCAAAACTTCTAAAGATCAAACATAAAATATTATCTATTTGTCGCAGAGAATTTCACAACGTTGTTTTCTTAAAGGTTCAATCGATTGATTCATTATTTTTAACCTTTTTGGTAAGTAATCGTTATAATCCAATAGATTCCATCTTCAACTTTCATCATTTGCCGCAACTTGAAGTTCTACAAACATAAATTTGAAATGTTATAGTTAGGATTGCTTTTAACAAAGTATGATTTGGCATCTCTCAGAAGCGTTTATGCTTGCATTATCAATGAATTAAATATCTGAATGACATATGCAAAGAAACATTAAAATGATAATATTCAAATCAAATCTTTCATGTTTAATGAGCGTCTAATCAGTGAAATAAATCAAGCAATGTTTTTTGGTAGACGAAAAGAGAAGAGTGAAATAGCACGAATTTATTGTTTGATGACTGTTCTTATGAAATGCATCGATGGGAAATTCATTTACATTTAATCTTTGACCGATCGTTCTAAGTTAACAATTAACGTTTTTATTTTTGAGCGCAATTTCGTCTCAGAAAAGTTATAACATTCATACTTCAAAAAGTTTTTATCATTCCATAATTACTGATTTAATGGAAAGTTTCAATATGAATAACTAATTTATATAGATATAATAAGATTTTTATTTAAAGGAAAAAAGTAGAGAATAAGAAATGATGTCACTCTCTTTCCCTCTCCTCTCTTTACCTCTTTCAATCTCTCAACATCTGATTAAAAAGTGAGGGAATGGGTTGAAATGGGTGTGTAATGACAGCAAACATTTGCCAATATGAAACCTTTCACTTCCCTTCGTTACTCTCACTAATTCAATTTCTCTTTCATTCAATCATTGATTTCTTATTCTTTTCCTCTCTTTCAACTAATTTTCTTCATTCAACTTTATCTCACTTTCAAACTTCTTATGTCGCATAATATTAATAACTAATCCTTCCCTATTCTTTTATTTCATATTCAATTTAAATATGAAAAAGTTGTCGATATATGAGAATGATCAGATCCCTTGCAAAGATTTCATTTCCTTCTTAATCTTACTTCGGTATACAGCGAAGCTTATTTTTTTTATTATATTTCATCTTCTTGCTATTTTCAGCAAAAAAATCATTTTATATCTGTAATCTCTCCAGCAACCGGATTTATTACCATCCGGCTGCAAAAGATAGTACGAGTATTAGCTGACCGATCTTTGACCTCCGATCATTTATTCATATCGGTTATATCGTCTTGTTATTAAGAGAATACATTCATTTAGTGTTTACTGGAAACATCAAACAAATCTGATAAAAATCGTTTCATTCATTTATAGGACGATAGGAAGAATCTTTCAAATGGATGAGATTTATCAGTCGACTAACTTTCGTCACTGTCCAGTTGAGAATAACCGCTTTTCTCCACTGACTAATGATATTCATATTTTCTTACGCAAAAATGATAATGATATCAATGGCGATGATGATGATGACGATGATGATAATGAAGATAATGATGGTGTTGATGTTCATAAAAATAGTCTTTTTTTGGTGAGTTTTTGCTGCACTTCTTCAAAGTGTTAGCGAAAGTGTTAGCGTTCTTCAAAACTTAAGTATATGAGTTGTTGTTTAAATTTTGACTGCTTTACTTTGGACACTTTCGAATAAAATCCCTGATAAGTATAGTTTGTTGTGGAGTTATTTTCATCTTCTTTATTCATTCAATCTGAACTATCACATTTAGGAACCAAAAATACCAATACGAAGCACATCATTACAAACTAGTGAATCAGACATGTCGATGACTATTCATAATGAAGATATTACATTGAAAATGTATGATAAGTCCATGCAGGTGAATTACATGCATTCTTTGTTATTGTATCATTATTATAAATTAAATGATGTATTTCTGCTCTGGTCACATTTTTATTAATGTAACAAAGAGCAGCAATGCATTTATAAAAAGGAGAATGAAGGAAAAAGCTATCCATAACAACTGTTGGTTGCAGGACACGCTGCTTTCCCACTTGAACACCTTTCGGCGAAATCGTGAACTTTGTGATGTTGTTTTTTTTGTGCACGAAAAGGAGATTCTTGCTCATAAGGTCACACTTACGCCATTTCTTCTCTTTCATCGTTTTGAATGTTTCTCCAGTTTAATTCAATAAAAAGCATGTTATGATGCTTAGATGAAACTTTTATCACATTTTGAACTTATGATTAAACTTTTAAGATTGTTCTTGCTGCTTGTTCGCCTGCACTTATGGATATGTTTGTCAGACGCGAAAATGCAGGCCGATCATCAAGTAATTTTTTCTAATAATATGCAATTTACGTCTTATCTGTCATTGCAGTCTTTCCAGTGTGCACGTTCGCGAAGATTGAAAGTTTCGAAATGAAAATCTTAGTATTGAAAAGATGAAAAAAAAAAATGAAAATTGCGATAAGGATTACTTAACTGTTGTTAAGGTTTCGGCTCACTTGCAATAATATTTTTCTCCAATAAATTCTAATCTTCTATCAATACAATTACAGAACGCTTGAGTACAACGATGCTGTCAACAGCAGATACCGTTTCTCCACCGTTAACAACAGCTCATACCTCATCAATAACATCACAGCCATTTTCTTATTACGAATTTGCTGAAGCCGATTATGATTGTTTCGAATCTATTGTAAATTATGCCTACTCTTCTCAGTAAGCTTTCGATTAGGTATTCAATAAATATACCTGTTGATCCAGTGCATATTTTCGCCTTCTCGACAATTATTTTCATACTATGTTAAATTTTTAGCTATATTTGACGTAACTTCAGCAAAATATTTTCCAGTTTGGAAATAAGCAGCAAAAAAGTTGGCGAACTGTATAAAACAGCTTGCGCTCTTCAAGTAACGCCAGTTGCCAAAGCTTGTGCTCGTTATCTTATCGAATACCTTAACGTCATGGATTGCATCGGTAAGCTATTATATGTTTTTTTTTTTTTTGAGAGAACCACATATTCTGAAAATTATGATTTTTTTAAATAACTATTTCTTCAAATAATGAGAATTTCAGGAATTCGACGTCAAGCTAATCTTAACGATGATGTACTTGTGGAGCAAGTTGATAATTTCATTGCTAAAAATTTCGCACAAATTGTTGATGAAAGTCCAGAATTCACTCATTTGCCTCTTATTAAGGTATTAGTGAAATCGTTGAACAAGGAAGATTAGTTTACTTAGCTTCAATTATAAAATACTTTTTTAAAAGCTTTGCAGGTTCGTTTGATTTTGAACACTGATGATACCAAGCGATTCTGCTGTGGCGAGGATATCGCCTTGCGTGTTGTGCAGTACTTCCAATCTTTACCTCATGCTAATGATCGCGTTGAACAATGGATTGAACAACTGGTGGAAAAGGTATTTTGGAGCCAAGAAAAAAAAACGAAAGTAATTTAAAGTTTATCGTTTGCAATGTTTCAGTTTAAATTAACTTGCAGACGCATATGTTATACACCGAGACAGATGCCAGATTACAAGATTGTTTAGAAATGGATGACCACAGTTGTATGGGAGCATCTGACATAATCCAGGATTATAAGTGTACGGGTGGCTACTTACCACGCACATACAGTGGAAGGTAGCTTTAAAAAATTTTTTTTCAAAAAATACTTATATTTGATCAAGTATTGAGAAATAGAGGTTACTTAAGATATTCACTATGAGTAATTTTCGAAGAAGACAGCATAAGATCTTAACTATTTTTCAGCAATGTGTTGGAGGTCCAGACTCCTGCTCATCATATCACAGGTGCTACACAAGTGCATCTGAATTCAGGTTTAAGCAACGCAAAACTATCGTCAACGGATAGTAACAGTTCACTGAGTTCAAACACTGAACCTGATAATGAATCTTACAAACTGATCGCTGTGCACCGAACAGCCGGTAAGAAGAGAAGATAAAGATATACTTAGGCATAAAGATTATGTGGGGAGGATATTTTTGCAGATAATCAACCAGAATGTTTTTGCACTTTAATGTTGATGGGATTGTTACGTATGAGGTAGAATATTCTTGTTTACCATTCTTACATTATTTATTTCAAGAAGACTTTTGGATCACGCTGGCAGTGTTGCACCGGTGTTTGTTTGCGCTCAGTATTCAGCTTTCTGAAGCTGAAAATGTTATAAAACCTCGTATGATTTCACAGATTGTTAAACCCTCATCAACTGTTGAAACAACAGAACCAAGGGAAATGGGGGAAAAAGCAGTTGTAAGGTTTGAATTCGAGTTTTATTCGCGAAGATTTTGAACTAATAACTTCAGTATTGATTATTTATATTAGTTTTTATGCAAAGGGGAAGCTCGCAGATACAATATTCTAATTTCACTGAAGTGGCGTGCATTTGTTTGTGGTGTGATGTCAGCTTTTCGTTATAGGTTGACATCATCAGAGAGCAACTCACGTATCCTACTGCCACAGATGGAAAGTCCAAGATGTTCCGTTGGAGGTGCATTCGTCAACGGGAAAATCATCGTTTGTGGTAAGCGTTACTCCACATATTCACATATATATGCATCAATGCTATCGGTGAAGTTTAATTTTTTGCTAGAATTATATAACAAGAAATTATAAAATAGTGATATTTATTTTACAGGTGGTTATGACCGTGGCAAATGTTTGGAATCAGTGGAAGAATATAGTTTATTAAAAGGTAGTTGGCGTCGTTTAAGCGACATGGCACAGTGCCGAGGTCGTTTCGATGCAGCTGTTGTGGGAAACAAAGTTTACTCTGTTGCTGGTGCTTTCTTGCTCTAGTTTAATATATTAAGTAAGCAGTTTTCGAACAGAAATTCAGTTGAATTTTTTCCTAGCTCTTCATAGGATTTTGTTTGTAGTTCTTCTTATTAGGAAAAGTTTTGTAATATACTTCATAGTCATCGTTTATTTGAGCTTGTTAGCAATTATTTCATTGGTAAGGTAGTAGCGGAAGTGTGGATTTGAAAACAGTGGAATGTTACGATTCAGAAATCGAGAAGTGGTCACTGGTAAAATCGTTAAATCACGGACGCAGTCATAATGGTTCTTTTTACATTCATTAGATGAATAAGGTCGAGAAAATTGTATTGAAAATATTTCAAGCAAACATATTGAGTTCTGACACTAAGTGAAATGTTTATTGCTTCAGAAGCTCATTCATATATGATAATAGAAAATAGATCATTCGGGCGGGTTGGTTTTTTCATGTCGGTATTTCAGCTTTATTATTAGCACGACTTCTATTTTTGTGCTTTTCCTTGCTGATTTCAAAATTTGTTCGAAGTTGTAGATTCTGAATATAAAGTTTTTTTGTTTCATGTTGTGCTGCTCTGGATGGATTAATCTACTGTATTGGGGGTTCTTGTGAGCAGAGTGTTTTGGATGAATGCGAGAGGTATAATCCCGAATTAAATGAATGGACTTCAATAGCTCCGCTGCGAACAGCACGTTTTCAGGTAATGTTCTTTACTTTCATAGCAGTAGGTTCTTTTATATATTCCTATTAAAATCTTTTGGTAGGCCGGTTGTACTTCATGGCATGGCCTCGTGATTGTATGTGGAGGATGCAATGGTTGGAAATGTCTTGACTCAGTTGATGCTTACTATCCAAAGACGGGAAAATGGCAAAAACTAGCTCCTCTGAAAATAGCGAGACGTGGATGTGCTGTTGCGGTGGTAAAAGGTTTGTTAAAAAAATTTTCAGTTACGTTCTCGAAAACAAAACTTTCACATTTTTGCCGCTTGTTAAATTCTACTACTTTTGTATAAATGCATTAGGTCGTTGTACATTTGATAGCATGATATGATATGAATATTTGCTTTTGTTTTTAATTGGGTGTTAATTGAATACACTTCCTAGATTCATTGTTTGTTATCGGCGGTCATGACGGCATGCACTCGTTGAATTCAGTAGAAATCTTGGACGGTCCTACTGGAGTATGGCGTTCAGGTCCATCACTCACTATTCCACGTGCTAATGTCAAGGCAGCAGTAACTTCAGGTGATGAGATATATCTTCTGGGCGGTTTTGATGGGACGCAGTTTCTTTCTTCGATTGAAGTGCTCACAAATGGTTGGTTTTATTCCATATAAGAAATTCTTTTACCATCATTTTTAATGGTCTGGTTTCATAAAGATTTTTAGGACAAAATTAACTGCTGTACTTTAAAAAATCCGAATTTATTTCCCATAATAGTCCTTTCCTTCTCTAAATCTTCCACTTTCATCTGATCTTGTAACATGAGAAGAAACTATTACATCTAGCTGACGTCAGGAAAACCTAGAGTCTCATTTAATATGTGGTTACGTTATCGGCAGCTTAGTACTGATAGCTTGAATGATTATGGAAATCATAAAAGTAAAAATAGGTAGACTTTATAAAGATAATAGGACAGAAATATTTTTTTCAAGACTTTTAACAGTTCTGAATTTTATAAAATGAATTTGGAGGATTTTAAGTTTGTTGGAGTGTGAAATATTCACTTTTCAGAATTGCTTGGTTGGCGAAATTGGCAGTGAAAGAAAAAATATAATGAATTGGAAAAATCAACCGCTGTTTTTAAGAGCATATCAAAAGAGCTTTAAAATGATGAAACATTTTATGAAGAAGTTGAAGAATACGAAGTAGCACTAAGTCATTTTTACAGTTGGACTGATTACATGTTATGTTTACACTTTTTTCATGACTGTCAAGCGTTAATTGAGAACTATTTTCTGATTGTCTTTGTTTGCTTAGTTAATTGTAGAACTTAGTTGATTATAGAACTTAGAACTTAGTCAACTGGGCTTCTATTATTTCTTCTTAATAAGAAATCAATGAATGAAATGCTACAATTAACTTCCTAGGATTGCTGAATATGAAAATTAGAACCTTTAAATTTGAAGAATTATAGAATCTGGAGAAAAGAACTAGTGCTAACAGTATTATGTTAACTATATGCTAAATAAACTTTATACATTTTTTATCATTGATGCGAGATTGATCCATTAGAAGCCCAAGGAGTAAATAGGCCATACAGTAGCCATCACTTTAGAGAAAAGTGCACCGAGTGAAGGGGATAGAAGTGTGAAATCAAAGAATTTTTTTCAAGTTTTATTTGTATCATTTAGCACTACAATTGTTTGTCGTTTTCCGGAATGGCATAGAGTTTTCGAGTAAAGAAAAAAAAACATGGATTTATCGAATTGCTCATAGCCTGTGCCATGTCATATGCTTTTTTTACTTTCTGTCCAGAGGATTTTGACTCCAATTAATGGTTTCTCTTAAGCCGATATATTTGCAATATGTTTCGTAATCCTTAGCGATAGCTATGGTCAGATCAAACTCCCCCTTTTATTTTCAAATAATGAATAAATTGCCTCCAACCAACCGTCGCCTCGAGAGACATAAAGCATGTTTTTGTATTTCATGTGTTGCAACATACACTGTCCCTTATCAGTATTTGTTTGGTTAATATTCGGAATGAAATTTATAAAAATCGTTCCGGAGATTTTACTTTTAGACTTGTAGTTTGATATTTTAATTATTGTTTAATTTGACTAATGATTTCCAAACATAATAAATGCATCACACATTTTTATCTCCGTTCAAATGCATCATCACTTCAGCTCACGCCTCCTGCTCATATATTGAATTTATCGAGCATTCCTTACCCTATACCGGTCCTTACACCTATCAACTGATTGATCTACTGCTTTGTCACTAAGTCCCAATAGACAGACGTACATTTCGAAACAGAACGGTTAATGATGGTATTCATAGGCGGTCATATGAGGGAGCGTTATGCAATGTGCTTGAATTGATTTCACTGATTATGGAGTCATCCATTTGGGAGTGCTTTTTAAATTTCATCGAGGTTTTCCTAAATTTGATTTTCTCTATTGTCCTTATTCTCTGTGGATGTAGTTATTTTCTTAATACAGTTGAAAACAAATTTACTGAGTTCACGCGGTAAAATTAATTTGGGATAAAGATTCCTAAGGATCTTCAATTTTTTGAGCTTATAAGTTATTGTTTACAACGGTTGCTTCGTGCTGAATGGAATGAAACAAGTTCAGATATAGATAGAAATACAAATATAGATATTTGTGATAAATGCTACCTGTTTCATGTATTTCTGTCTATATCTGAACTTGTCTTAGATTTTGGAAAGAAAATGATGGTTAATGTAAGGAGAAAAAGTGATAGTAAAAGGGATTATTGAATCAGAACACCTTCCCATCGGATGAAATTATATCGGTGTTATCTTTTTTTTTGTGCTCAAATATGAATATTTTGCTCAACTAAATTCTCCACGAAGTTTGATTTCGCTACAAATTTCACAGTGAATATGCATACATTTCTTGGTTCTTACCATCACTGCTTTATTTGAGGAACTGTCTGAAAACGTATCTTGGCCTCAAGAACAATGTCGCAGTGATTGACTGGATATTTATGTGAACTCCTTTTTTATTGTAATTCCTCCACTTAATGCCTGATGGCTGAGTATAAAAAGGTAAAAGTTAATATAAGGCTCATCAATAATTTAGAATAAATAATCATTAACAGTAATCACGAAAGTTACGACTTTACAAGGAACTTATTTACCTTTCATACGCATGTTTTTATGGAAATCGGATTTTCCAATTCAATTTAGATTGAAGTGTTAGTTCCATGTTCCCGTAGAACGAATAAACTTCCAGATAATCAATTGATATGCAGTTGTTAGCATCAGCATTAATTCAATTCCACCCTGTTTCCACACATTGGATGCTCAACTCCGTAAATATATCACTGGTCGATTGTACCACAAATTGTCTGAAAATCTGTGCAGTCTTTTGGAGGTTCAACCCGTATGCCAGACATTCCCGACTGTCACAGGGAGGATCTATTATGGAGGCTCACTTACTATTCACTTTAATCTACCAGCTGGTTATATTTTCGATTTTTAGGCACTCCTTCAGTTTAATATATAGGCATTCTAGTCTCAATAATGGGACTGTGGACGTCATCGTTAGTCATGTTAGCTAAATTATTTTTCTGTTCGTTTTCGTATTTATTATCAGATTTATTGTTGTGCTTATTTCTGACATTAGTTATGTGCAATATATTGTAAGATGATTAATATTTTAGATTTGGTCAGTTGAACATATTACACACAGACGGGTATAAGCGGTTGCAGCTAAGCACGAATAAAAGGTCATCCTTAATTCTTGTGAAACAGTGTGTCGCAATGAGGAGAGCTTATAGGAAACATTTTATCGGTGTTAGCCTCCGCATATTTGATTGTGTGTTAAAATTTTAGTCATTTTTCTCATTTCCAAAATTTCAAGGTTTAATTTTGCGTTTGAAAGAAAAGGTTGAATTGAACTGTTTAAAGATTATGGAAGAAAATATCAACTGTATTTTAAATATGATTTTCCTTGGCAAATTTTTGAATTTTATGCGAACTTCTTCCAGGTTGTAGTAACATCAACATTGAAATCGTCCAAATGTTAATCAGGAAAGCAAGATCTACTAAAATTATGAAAAAGTTTGGAGCAAGTATAGCCTGTCTATTGATTATTTTTTTATGGGCACTAGGTTGGACTGATTATTTTTTCGAAAAACCGTTCTCAAAATTCAAATGGCCACCATATATAAATGTTCGGAAGCAGGTACTTTGTAGTTTTCAAATATTTCGTTACAAATATACAGCCACAGATAAATAAATTCAAATATTAAAAAAATTGGAAGCATAGCAAAGTGAATTTTAATACACTGGACGTGTTGGGGATCATTTTTATTTTAAGAAAAGTTGAAATCAAAGACGAAGGATCATTCCTGAAGAAATTTCAATTAAGAGCATTTTTTTAAGAAATATCAATCTTTTTTGTATTTAAGAACATGTTTAGATATCGTTTCTTTATTTATTACAATTTTCTTTTTAATTAAGAAGATTGTTTTTTTATAAAACGATGCGTATGACCAATGTTCGAGTTCATTGTTTTTTGTGCAGGTATTACTAGAGTTAAGTGGTCGGCCACCATCTTATCTTTACGAGAATGATTGGGCTTACTATGAACCATTTCATATTCCGGCATGCGAAATCATCAAAGAGATGGATAAATTTTTATTGATTATCGTGAAATCTTCGTCGTTGCATTTTTTAGTAAGTTTTTTGTAAACTTTCCGAGAATAACTTTATAGGATGTTACCAACATAGATTTCAGAAATTAACCTTATAACTCTTTCATGCATCAAATATTCATGTCTTTTTTTGAAGAGAGCTGTTTTACTAGCATAATAAAATATAACTTTTTAAAATGCAACATCATACATAAACGTAAGACAATTTGTTAAAGCTCCCAAAGATGTTTAGTCCTCAACCGTTTATATAATAGATATCTACATTGCTGCTTGACTGTTCCAACAAAAAAACATATAGAATTTATTTCTCAGGAACGACAAGCTATACGTCTCACATGGGGCTCAGTACTTAATCATTCCGAATTCACCATTAGGACAATATTTGTGATTGGCCGAAAACCTTTAAGTGAGGAAAATGAACAACTGCAAGAAGAAATTAATTTACACAAGGATATACTAGTTGGTGATTACATTGATAGCTATCGAAATAATACACTGAAAGTTTGTTATTTTTGAATTTCTTCACTTGTGTTTGAAGCATTCTAATATATAACTTCCACAAAAACCCAATTTCAAGTTGAATTTACTAATTTGATTTTTCAAACTCAAATTGTTCATTTGAGAACTATGAATAAATAGAGCTGGATTACAGGACGTCAATCTCCATAGGAGATCGATAGCACATCTTGCTATATTTTCAGTGGATAAAACATTGGATCTTACATTTTAAAATTTGTATGGAACTTGCAATGGTCTTTTTCTAGCTTGATGAGATCTGTGCTCCTTTTGAGAACTTTTGGAGAGTAAAAAGATTTAATAGGGACCAGATTTATGATTGACAGGAAGGGGTTCCCATTGATGATTATTATGTACTTTTGTTATGATAATTATATACTTTTAATAATATCAATCTCAAAAAACAATTTAAATTTGGTTGAAGAATTCTACAATTATCTCTATTATTGTACACCATTCATTTAAATTATATAGACTACTATAAGAGGAAATGTTAGTGTAAAAAATGAATAGAAGACTGAAAGAGAGATGAATACGGAAGTCCAGAGGCTAAACTAGAAGGATGTTCTAATTGCATTTAAAGTGGAAGCAATAATTTCCATCTCGACATTTATCAATTTCTTTCCAGTTTTTATCAGCGGTGCAGTTTTCATTCAATTATTGTCAACAGAATACTGTCCCCTATGCATTTTTTGTCGATGATGATTATTTGGTGTTGGTGCAAAACCTAGTAGCAGAAGTAAAAAAATATGATATGAATGACCGACTTTATGCGGGTTGGAAATTTGATACGCGACCATTTAGGACCAGGTTTCACAAACATCGGGTAAATTCAAATTACTAATAATGGCAACAATTAATTTGCCAGTGAGACGTATGATATCAGTTTATGTGTAGAAATCTCCTTCATTTTGGATTTGTAGTAAAGTTTCATTTTTTAAATGAGGGAACAACATAGAAAGTAGATCGATTGTTCCTCGTGCTTTAAAAACATATGTTATGCTGTGAAGCATTTAGGGTAGGAATATAATTCACATACATTAATTAATTATACCTCCATTGTCTTACTCACGGTCTTCATGATGTAACGATTTTATCTTTTCTTTATCTTGCTTGGATTTCAAAGTGCGCAAAGCAGAAAAAACTCCTTTTTGAACGTATTCATTTTGCAGGTATCCATTGCAACATATCCGTTCAATCGTTATCCACCTTATATATCTGCTGGTGCAGTATTGTTATCATCACAGACCATTCGCGAAATGTATTATGCAATACAGTATACGAGGCTTTATCCCTATGACGATATTTTTGCTGGTATATTGGCAAAATCATTGAAATTGACCGTCAAACATAACAAAAATATGCGCTTCTGGAAAACAGCAGTTAGTGTAGAAGAAAAAACTTTAATTTGTGCGCATGGATTTGAGGGAGAGCGCCTGAGTTCAGTGTACAATAAGTTCAGGGCTAAGGGAATTCTATAATAAACTAAAAGCTAGGAAAAATGAAGTAAATCTTTCGAACGAACTGAAGCGTGCAACCCTTTTGACTTTATTCTCGTATTACTCTAATTTAATTGTATACGTGATATTGATTATTTTACGTTGACGAACATTACTAAATATGTGCAGCCGGTCATTCTACATTTTATACATGTCCCATTTCTGGATATATTATGCTATCCAGAAAATTAGAATTATTATTCTATCCAGAAAATTAGAATTACACGCTATCCAGAAAATTAGAATTATTATTCTTACATCAGTGGTAAAATAGCAGAACTATATTAGTGGGAAAAGTGGTCTCAGCCAATTTCATACTGCATATTTAAGGAATGTTACGGAAATGTGCATCTTTACTAAATATCTCTTTGAACTAAAATTCGTTTGACATTTAAACTTATCAGTGTGACAAATTGCATATGAAAGTAAAATTGAATATTTCAAAACGTTTCGATGTAACACCTCTGTTCCTCAGGTAAACAGCATGCATTAAAAAAGGACACAGTGCACGGAATTTTTATAGCATTTTGCGAACAACCTCACGAATCCACTGTTTAGCCAATTCGGACTCCATTACAGGAGATTCTGATATGCGTACTGATCCTACATCTTCTTTCTTCAAATTCTAAAAAAATCGTGAAGGTGAGTTGAGTAAAACTGTTCAGAATCGAGCATACATCTGTTATATTTTTGTTAAAGTATTTGGCGGGTGTATGACGTTGAATCGACGTGGTTGGAATTCTTTTTGGATCATGACTAGAGTAGTAATGGGCAAAATATGTTCAATGGACGTATTTCGAAATATGATTTTCAAAATAGTAAAGATATAATTCCGCAGAATGATGTTCTGAAGAAAAATATTGCGAAGACATTTGACTTACGTTTTAAATGTTGAGAGCTTGAAGAAAATCGCTAATCGTCATTTAGCAAGCAGCGCTACTATTAAGCATCTAATATTTGAAATGTACCTTAGTTATTTGATCCAGATCGTCCTCACCTCTTACAGTATCATCCATTTTTGTGTCTTGGGATGTCAAAACACGCATTGGTTCCAAAAACATTACAGTATCTTTTTCCTGATCTACTGTAAATGAGCCTGTAAGAGATTTTAGTCGTTTTTTTGTGCTGAAATTCATAATGCAGTCTTTCACATTATTTCCAAAGGATATGAAATACAACCATCACAAAACTTTTTCCCAAGAAATTGGTTTTGTGCCATAGAATTTTCTCTTTTTCGAGAGTGAAATAAGAGCGAGGATTAAAATGATTTTCAAAAATACTTTGTTTGAGAGCAATTTCACGAATCCACCCTTTAGCAAGTTCGGATTCCATTACAGGAGGTTCTGATATGCGTGCTGGTTCTACATCTCTTTTCTTCAGGTTCTGCAAAATTCTGATAATGAGTTGAATACAACTTATTTAGAATCGAGCTTATATGCATCACATTCTGTTAGATCATTTGGCGATTGCATGACGATAAAAAGATGGCAAAATTGATGGTTAGATTTCTTTTTGATTACAATTATAATACTGTTTATTCTGAAATGTGATTTTTAACAGAATAATCGAAGATATGATAGAGCGTAATCTAAACTTATAGAAGAAAGATAAAGTATGCTGTAATATGGAGGGACCGGAATACGAATCGTGACAGTTAACAAGCAAAACAACCCAAAAATTGAATTGGCAGATATAAATGAAAAATACTACAAAGATGTTTAACCGCAATCTAAATGTTGAGATCTAGAAGAAAATCGCTAATCGTTACTTAGCAAAGAGCATCACTGTTTTATACCTCTATTATTTGAAACATACATCTGTTATTTGATCCAGGTTGTTCTTGCCGATTACAGTGTCATCCATTGTTGTGTCTTGAAATGTCAAAACACGCACTGGTTCCAAAAACGTTACAGTGTCTTCATCTTGATCCATCGTAAATGAACCTGTTAGGGATGCTGGTGGTCTGTACAATTTCTCAACAAAAATTTCAGTTGGTTTTCTTTGAGCTGAAATTCATAATTACGCGGAGATCAACCTTTTATTAGATGACACTGGCTTTGTATCATAACACTTTCTCTTTTTCATAATAAAGTGAAGATTAAAATTATTTTCAAAAGATACTTTGTTTGAAAGTGACTTCACGAATCCACTGTTTAGCAAGTTCAGACTCCATTACAGGAGATTCTGATTTGCGTACTGATCCTACATCTTCTTTCTTCAGATTCTGAAAAAACGAGTGAAAATGAGGTTTGAATATAACTGTTCAGAATCAAGCATATATCCATTATATTTCTGTTAAAGTATTTGGCAGTTGTATGACGATGAACTGTCTTTCGGATTACGACTATAATATTAAATGTTTAATAGACATTCTAAAACATGATTTTCAGCAGAATAAAAAAAATGTGATAGAACGGAATCTAAACTCAAAGCAAAAAGTAAAGCGTGGTATATATAAAACGACTACAGCATACAGCTGCGACAGCTATAGTTATAAGAAAAATATGAGTTATGAGAATTCAAAAACATGAACAATAAGAAACAGAGCAGGGGTTGAAATTGCAGATATAACACATTTAATTCCGCAAATCTCAATTACTTTTTGAAGAAAAAATAATTGAATATTGGGATGTCAATTACGGTTTGAACCGTTATTTAACAAGGAGCATTACTGTTTTATATCTTTATTATTTCAAACTTACATCTGTTATTTGGTCCAAGCCATCCCTGCTTCTTACAGAATCACCCGTTGTTGTATCGTGGAATGTCAAACGCACTGGGTCCAAAAACTTTACAGTGTCTTCATCTTGATTTACCGTGAATGAACCTGTTTTGGATGTTGGCGGCCTACACAATTTCTCAATGAGAGTTTTATTTGGTTTTTTTTGTGCTGAAATTCGTAGTAAAACGGGAATCAATCTATTATAACACTCTTAAAAGATCTGAAAATCTGAAGATTTCTTTCGAATCTTTAGAAAACACTAACTTTGTACTACAGTACTTCTTTTTCGTAATACAACAAAAATTAAAATGATCTTCAAAGGATACCTTGTTTGAAAATACTGCTCTGATTACTTCTCGAAGTGCTCGCTGTTATTTGCAGTCCTGAAACTTGCGCTTCTCTGCAAAAAAGTAAATATATACATGTCAAATGATAAAGTAGTCACACTTCATTTTTTGATCAAAGAAATGAGCAGAACAAGAATCGCCATTATTGTCCATCAATAGTGGTAAGACACATAAAGGAAGCAGAAGCAAGACTTACAAATTAACAGAGTTGGAAGGAAGAAGAATAACTTGATCCAATTCTTCAACCTGCTTGTCGTCTATATTCGTATTCTTTGTGCAGCTCTCAGAGATATCTGCACATACTGTTGATTCGAATGACAAACTTGACTGTATGTTTTACAAAAATAAAGATTCAAGTTTATCGATATATAAGAAATGAAAACCTTAATCTCAATTATGTCCTATGACGAAAGTCTTACTTCCTATATTTTTCGTCACACTATCAATAACTTCAACCATTTTTGTAAAATTAGTGCGCTCAAGCTGTCTAGCCTCTAAACGCTCAACTTCAGCTTGCATTTCACGTTTCACAGCGTCCAATGTGACCATCAGACTTTCAATCAGTTTAGCAGTGTTTTCACAATCTTCAGCTCCAGCTTCCAAATAACGCTGAAAAAGAAAATCTATATATAAATACCATTAATATTACTAGGTTTTATATATATAAGCATGGCATATTAGCACCAAGCATTAATGACACAAATGCAGTCATATCAATAACTAGAAGATTAGAAATCAATTCTCCATCACATTTGAACTTGATAGAAACTTGATAACAAAGTCCTCAAATATACTAAATTAGTATAATAGCACCAAGTATTCAATTAAATTAAACAACATACGTGATAAGTACAGTGTTGGGCTTTTTCATTGATTACGTCCCACCCACCTGCTTCTTGGAACTGTTTTAATTTCTCATTGAAAACTTTCTGAATAGCATCCATATATTGTTCATCAGTTATCACCTTTGCCATCTGATCTGTTTCAAATAAACCATAAGAAACAATAAATGAATATCAACGGAAAAAGCGCTTTTAAAACGTCATGATGAACGTTCATATCTTCTGAATCCACGCATTGGTCATCCAATTCATTATAACAATGTCCCACTCTAATTGTATCAACAAAATCTAACTATTGTACGAATCGCTGTAGCACAGTTTATAGAGCAAATTCAGATTATTTATATATGGACAAGTCCCACCTCCAAGGAGGATGAACAGATGCCCGAAATACAACAATACCTGCAATAGATAAGACAGTGAATCATTCGCAACTGTTATAAGATTATACAAGTTCAGTTGTAAGTAAATATGAAAAACTTAGAAGAAATTTAAAGTAAAAATTGTGAAGCTTCGCTCTGAGTTATCAAAATTCTATAGGCAAATCGACAGATAACGTACTCCGGACTTCCGAAGGGCAGAAAGTTCTGGATGCCAACATTTACACCCCCTCAAGTGTTGTACAAAACTTTGAAATGCCTGCTCCCCCATTTTCGTCGTGCAGATAGACAGATGCCTCGCTCTGAAACTATGATTCCACTTCCCACACTACTCACGATATCAAGGGATAACTAAGCCGAATGCAGTGTGACCTTTAACCCTGCTGGAAGTTTTCCATTACACAAAAAAAAACGTGTGGACATATGCTTATCCTATGGTGGAATTTTAAATACCAGCTGTAAAAATCCCAGCTCACCAAGCCCTACAAAGTTTTTATTCGGACAAAAAGTTATGAAAAGTTAGCTTGTTCGGTAGTCGGTGGTCATGGTCTCAATATCCAGATGTGGAATGATGCCTTTTTGTAGTTTTGTTAGCTGAAATCCCCTGCTTATCTCTCTCTTCCTTTTCTTTTCTTGCATACATGCAACTTATAAAGAGAATATATTTCCGACATAAATTTATTTTCTCCTAACAAATGTGAAATTAAAATTTGAATATCAGTTCGCTGCGAGACCCGACCGAACGGTTATTATGACGTCGCATTTCGTAGATTTCAGAAGTTAGCAAATTCACGTACTGCATATAGCAGCACCTTCACTTCCATCTCACTCCGTCTTGGAAAAAGAAGAATAATAACTCGAGCCCACAGCAATGAAGTCATATCTCTTGACGGGTAAGTTTTCCCTATTATCACATAGTGGTAGCTACACAGGTACGGATCGCGAGCAGTTGTCTACACTTATCGCTTACTGCATTTGATCACCTCTCTCATCCTAAACTGTGCATTCCTTCCCTCAGATTTATCATTTTTGAAGTAGAACCTTAGCATTTTTTTTCCCAAAGAATAAGAGGCCACAAGAATTGATTAGCATTAAACAAAAAGGAAATATGATATTATATGTGGTTTGGAGTATTAATTTTCATTTAGCACTATTAATTTATCAAGTTTTTGTTTCAACTAGTAGTAAAACTAATTGAAATTGTCAAAAGCAGTTTTAGTTTACTCAAGATTCGGGATGTTACTTATTTGCCTATTTGCATCACATCAGCTGCTTCTTTTATTTAGAATCGGAAAGAAAAGAAGCATTTCTTATGCTACATACATTGAACTATTAGAATTATTAATTAAAGGTTATCATCTCGAGGTTCAAGATTGAGAATATAATTGGTATTGTTGATGAACTGGTTGAGGAGGGAGATTATTTTTCATTGGGTATTTGCTAAAGATTATTCATAACTGATTTTTGCAGTTTTGATTGGATTATCGCATGCACTCTATGAGAGTAATCATGATGTGATCCAATTGACAAAATCGAATTTTAACAGTAAAGTGTTGAAAAGCGATGAAATATGGATTGTTGAATTTTTTGCGCCATGGTAAGTTTCAAATGCCATTTTGATGTGCGTCTCTCATGTTTTTTTGGGGCAACTTGAAATATAGTTTCTTACAGGTGTGGTCATTGTCAAAAATTAGTTTCGGAATATACGAAACTAGCAAAAGCAGTGAAAGGTATTTTCAAAGTTGGAGCAGTGGACATGACGCAAGATGAGTCAGTGGGTGCACCCTATAATATACAGGGCTTTCCTACAATCAAAATATTTAGTGGTGAAAAGAAGACTCCAGTGGAATACCAAGGCTAGCTTTCCTATAGCTCTCGACTACCTTTTGATCTAACAGGCTTAATGTTCATAATACAGTTTTTTATTTGTTCTTTCGTTTTTTGTTGGAATTCTGACACTTTAATCATTCATTAAAAACGAAGGACTAACTATTTTCACTGCACTGCTAATGTTACTCTTGAATGCTTCCAATATCGTGGAAGAAAATTATTTGAAAATTGCAGAAATATATTTATTGAAGGTTCTCGAACGGCGCAAGCGATGGCAGATTCATTAATAAGTGAAGCTCGAAAAATAGTAAATACGAAACTGGGTATTAGCGATTCAAGCAAATGGGGTAGTTCTAATGATAAGAAAGGTAGCGGTAAACATGTGATTGAACTGACCGATAAAAACTTTGAGGACTTAGTGCTTCACAGTAAGGATATTTGGCTTGTGGAATTCTTCGCACCTTGGTGCGGTCATTGTAAAGCTTTGAAACCACATTGGGAAAAAGCCGCTGAGGAATTGGTTGGTAAAGTAAAGGTAAAAACTGTTCCTCTTTTATTATAAGCTCTACAATTTCATATAACTGTTATTTACTAAAATTTACGCGTTCATTTGTATATTTGTAGTTATGATTTTCAAAAAAAGCTCCTTATTATCAAATGTTATTAGTCATATTCGTGAAGCCAATGATTTAGGTTGGTGCTTTGGATGCAACAGTACATCAAGTGATGTCGTCACGTTTCGGTATCAAAGGTTTTCCAACAATCAAATATTTCGCACCAGGTTCAAGCGCTAGTGATGCTGAAGATTACGTTGGCGGACGAACTAGTGATGACATTGTTCAGTATGCACTCAACAAGGTAAAAGTTTTGTGTTTCATGGCACTACACTGATTACAAAGAGTGCAAAGTCGTAAGTTTTTTAAACTTAAAATTTAAGGGAAAATTAACGAGTGGAAGACTTTACTTTGTCTTTCAGGTTGCTGAAAATATGCCAGCACCAGAAGTTATGGAAGCAGTTTCACAGGAAATTGTCGATAGTGCTTGCAAAGAAAAGCAGCTCTGTATAATTGCTGTATTGCCACATATTCTTGATTGCCAAAGTACCTGTCGAAACGACTATTTAGAAGTACAATATTTTTATTAGCAGAGAATTTTTGAAAAATTCTAAAGAAATTTGTGTCTTCAAGTTACCAATTTGCTTATTTTACTTTAGGTCTTGAAAGAATCGGCGAAAAAATTCAAACGAAATATATGGGGCTGGGTATGGACAGAGGCAGGTAAACAAACTGAATTGGAGAAAGCATTTGGCATGGGTGGTTTCGGTTATCCAGCTTTGGCAGCATTGAGCTATCGTAAAATGAAGTTTTCGATGTTAAAAGTTTGTCTTTAATTCTTTGAATAATCTACCATTGGTTGTAATTTCCAGATTTTGCAATGTCTTTGGCAAGATCTGAAAAACATTTATTGGCAAGATCATGTTTAAGTCATTTGCGGAGTGAGTCTCTGTTGAATTAGAATTGAATTCCCGACTTTCAGGGTTCATTTGGTGCTTCCGGAATCCAAGAATTTTTAAGAGATCTTTCTTATGGTAAAGGTCAGACGTCACCGATGAAAGGTGCAGAATTCCCGAATGTCTTAAATGTAGAACCATGGGACGGCAAAGATGGCGAGATGCTCATTGAAGAAGATATCGATGTTTCAGATGTTGACTTGGATGAGGAAGAGAAGGCGAAGAAAACTGAATTGTAGTTTGATTTAAGCGGGAAATACCCCTCTCCAAACTGTAGTCATTTCTTTACAGTAATTTATCGAGACGGTGACTTACCTCGCAGTTAACCGTGCTTTAATTTTTGAATATTCCCTCCTCTTTCATTGGCATATCTCATATTTATGCATTATAAAATCCCCTTTTAGACAATTCATTCTTTGCAAGAAATGGATCTTACTGTTGAAGTTATGCATTTCGCAAAATGCGAGCGCTGCGATATGTGTCACTCTACAGATTCTTACAAAGATGAGATATACTCGAGCATGGTGCCATTTATATGGATTCACCTTCATTAATAGTACGAATGCATAAATAAAATTATTTTGACGCGTAGACTTCTCAAGCAATTCCATTGTTACTTTATTTATTGTTTTCTATGTATGCATCATTTTTTGATAGTTATTCACTCAACGTGTTTTATTCTTTGTATTATTGTTATATACTAGGCATTTATATACAATAAGTTTAACTTATCAGTGCGTTATTACTAAGCAATACAAAAGAAAGAATTTTTGTGATCCTACGCCAATTCATATCCTTAGCGATTCGTAAAACATGATATTGATATCAAGTATTGCAGAACAGTCGAATCAGTTTGTCTGCAAGTTCACACTGATAAAATATAAGTTTGCAGATGTAAAACCATCACATGCACAACACTTGAGATATTCGACAGTATTGAGTTTTCAAATCATTCAGATATTCAACAACATTGAATTCTCAAGTAACGTAATGCTGGAAAGAAGTGCAGGAGCAAACAGGAGTGCGATCGCCTTGTGAGCATAAAGGTTGTCTAGAACATGTCAGTTTTCCATTGCGTACCCACGCACTAAATAACATGAAATGACTTCGCGGAATTCAATGGCCTAAAGCGAAACTTAAATTCGCCTGGATTTCTAACAGTGATAGCATGCTTTTTTGTTATTTAAACATCTTGAAAAAACAAAAGGGGAAACCCCACCCAATAGATGATTATCGTTGAAGAGTTCGAAACCACTAAGTATCATAGTCGGAATCTGCGTTATAGATAATAAACAGAAAGTATAAAAAGTGGCACTTAAAAAGCATCTTAAAAACAAAGTTTATATTCTCTAGGGGTTTCCACGCACGTTTTTCCAGTCGAATTATCAGAGCAAACTACTGTTGCAGGTCTCCCTTGGCCTTAAATAAAGCTAAAAAGTGCCAAGCTGCTTTTTACCACAGCATGGATCCCATAAATTAATAAAACTAATAGCACCTTAAAATAAAGATTCTCTTCATAAATTAGAATTTAAAAAAATGCATGTTGATTGTAAGGGGAGCTGCACAGAACTAAATCAACCTGAATCCCTTTTAAAGAAGAATGGATTTAACATAGTTCAAAATGAATTACAACAAAAAGAAATACAAAAAGAAAAAGGAAGAATTAGTTCAAAGTATACAACCTACAAAGTATAAAGTCCAGTTTACTACAGATCTTTCGGTTTGAAACGGTAATTTCAAGCGAAACACTATGACTAAGGTTTACTTTTTGAATGACTAAGATTTATTTTGAAATTCTATTCAAACAGGTTGTGAAAAAAGAAACAGGACATATAACTTAAGGGAAAATTACCGCTTGTTTTGTTTATAATTAGCAATTCAGAATTGATATCATAACAATCGCAGAAGCTAACAGCTTTTCTATTTCGATTCTTTTAAGTTTTAAAAACTTCATACGAAAGTTCGCCTTTTGTAATATCTGGTTAAAGTAACGATATCAACAGATACTAAAGAACATGTAACAATGGAGCCCATAAAATGATGCCTGCAAATTCGTCTCCACTTCGGAACGTTCTGCGAAATAGAAATTCTCTGATATAACCCTCAAAATGTGCCCTACAAGTTCCATTCATTGCAAGAAATTTTGCTTTCGCTTCGTTACAAATATTCTGCAGTAAGACATTATTAACACTAAGCTTTTGACCATTGACTGACTCAAACCTCTCCACATAAGTTTCTGTAATAAAAATAGGATAATCTAATTGATTCAGTCCGTCGATGTAAGTTCCTTCATCGGAAATTAATATTGTATCACGCAAAATCCACTGCAAAACTTTCTCTTTTAGGCGTTCTGTCGTATAATTTTCAATTGCAATAATTATGCAATTTTCTGTTTCTCGTTCCACCATGCCAATCAAATATGGATGCTGTTCACCAATTCTTGTTTTGTACAAAATCAATCGTCCAATTTCCACCACAATACCTAAAACATTTTATACAAGAATATACACACAAATAATCCAGCTGTTATCTCCAATATTATAGATGGAAATCTATTCATTTTTTTCAATTAGTGAAAAGCTAGGTAATCACAAAATGATAATTTGAAAAACTACAACTACAATGCATAAAGTGAGCTTACCTGGACCACCAATTGGTGTTTGACTTGCTTCAACAAAACCGGAAGCAATTTGCCGCATATAATCTGCCCAAGCGACAGACATTTCACTGCTGAAATGAGTGTGCAAGCGAATTTCATGCAATTTATAGTTTTGCGCCCATAAATACATAAATTCGATAATATCAGCTATTGACAAATGATGTCCGTGGAATATACTTCCATGACGGATGGATAATGACGAACAATAATTTCGTTTTCTGCCATTTCTTCGTTCTTGCTTTGCAACCACATGCATACATCGCCACTGTAACTTGATAAATTAAGATGTCTATCGGAATAAATTATAGATGGAGTGAAAAAAATCACTACAATAATCTTAATTTTATATCGATACTAAGGATATGCAAAATAATTTAGAAATATGAGGGTGTAATCTTAAGATTTTAACTATTTCTTAATAGCATAAAGAAACTGCGACGTATTTATCTAAGAAAAAAGAGATATGGAACTTCGGAATACTTTTTACTTTATACTTCATGTAAAAAAAAAAACGAATTTGGAAATGAAATACGGCATAAAGCCAGTAAGTAAAAGTTTCCGAAAAAAAACTGTAGACCATATTACGCTGCATTCCCAATAAAGCCACTTTAAACAAACTTTTGTAAACAATTTCGATACAATAATTTCACATGATTTTTAAGTCATCAGTGAATACAAGACCGACTCCAGACCTCAGTAATGGATAATCTGAAGCAACTAATTAAGGCAGACTGCGTTACTCAATACCTAATACTTCATCCAGCAATACCTGCCAAACGTAAAGTCCTTGACAACATTCGAAACGCTTCAGATGTAACAAATTGCTAAAGTACATTAAATAAAATAACTTCCATGAATTAACAAAGAGTTTTCATAATAATCCATAATTAAAAATATGTTTAGGACGGGTATAGTGTCAGATGCTTGACATAAATTTATACCGGTTTATGTGATTCTAATTCTTGTCTAACCTGTAAGCCATCAAGTCCATTTCTGCTCCACAGAAGCATTATTTGCCCACAACGCTTACAATTCATTGAATTTGAAATTAAGCCATATCGTGCGGCGAATTCAACAGCCACTTCGTTTGGTGAGATCAACTGCAAGAGCTGATCGTAGGTCAATCCATGTAGTTTTGACAATCTTTCACTCCATGAAATAACTTCCTCAGGTCTTACAATATAAAATCGCGACGACACCTTTCCACCTGAAATTCTTAATTTGCTTCATCATACAGAAGAAAAAAGCAGTAAACTTCGAAAAGTTTAGTGATTTAAAAATCTTTTTAAATAATAAAAATAAAATCATGCCACTGACACATTATGAAGTTTAGCAATTTTGCTTTCTTGTGTTTATCTTTAAGTGATTTCGCATTTGAAAATACATAGAAAAAGTGAAATTGCAACGGCCAGGAAACTATTGCATAACATTATGGGATACCTTCAGCATTACTTATATCAACCATATTTCGCGGCTGTTATATCCCGGTGACAGGAGAGTTTAGAATTTGCAATCAATATACAAAGAAATCGTCAAGTCGTTACCATACACTTTCTAAAGAAATCTTAATAAATTTGAAACTCGTTGACAAGTTGCCGCAACATGAACGATTCAAAACAAAGTGCTGTAGAAGAACAAAATACAAAGGCGATAAAATGCATTACTGTTGACTATAACATTTTATTTGCTTCATGAATAACGGTCCCTTACTGTTTCGCGAATAATTTTATGATGACATCAGTTAATTTAATTGAGCCATGATATAATGTTCAAAAAGAAATATTCGAAATCAGAAAAAATGTCGATAACAGTTATGCATCCCAGTGTGGGCGCGACCTCCAGATTTCCTTTTAAAAGTCAGAAATTTCATTTCACCTAGCACTACATCATTCCTATTTTTCTTTTTTGTTTATAAACAGTCACCAAATACTATGTGCGATACCTTGGGCTAGCCAAAATAGAAGTGTAGGAATGTAACATATATCACTCATCCCATAATAAAATATTATTTCCTTCTTTATAAGTATTTTCATTCAGAGGAATATCTTTCAAAAGTTCAATGATCAGTCTATAAATCTATTCTTCAGCTGTTATTGGTGAAATTCTATGTTTATAGAAATTCTTAAAATTTATACTAATTTATTTGAGCTCATATGAACGAAAGATTAATCTCACTTCTCAAGAGAACGTTTCTACCTTTAAATTATATTCCTCATCTGAACATCCCGCACTTTCATCCGAGAGAGAAAGCATAAATGCACCAACACTGAAGAAAAATTCCATCGAAATAATCGATTTCCAGAATTGTTTTTCCTACAAATATTTCATATGCTACGGCAAAATATGGCCCGGCCATAAGGTTTTTTCATGAAACAGAAGCCTTACAGCCGGTCGTGAGATTGAGGCGGTTTTGATTTGCCTTTAATTATAAATGGGAATTTTGAGGAATGGAGCAACTCATTGGTGTCTCTAAGGCTGAAAATGAGGAGGGGTAATTGATGTAAGTATTGCTTCCAGGGCATCTTCTTGAAGCTCTTACGATTGTATGTCATTTCGAGCAAAGGACTTATTATAACGTCA